TTTTAGGACGAACATAAAAGTGGTTACAGATATCTAACCAATATCGTCGTTACATATGTACGAGTATAATTCATGTCTTGTGTTTTTCGAAAAATGTCAGATTTAATTTCATTGAAATATTTATAAAGAAGCGTTACAGATTAAGATTTTCATTACAGCAAAGCAATGATATAAAAAGCCTAAATTCTCTGGCCAAAACGGCTAGCTGTCTTCAGCCAAACAGCAAGGCCAATATGAGCGTAATCAATTATTTGTATTCTTATTATATGATAGTTACTGAGGATCTTTCATAGTATAAAGCGACTTGGCGAGTAAAATATCACTTGGCACAATGTCAAAGCGTAAATAGTGTTCGACAAATCGTAAAATGTACTAAATCTTGTGTACTTATTTTAACTTTGACATCTGCTTACTATGTGCGAATTTGCGTTTATTTATACTCGCCACCGGTTTTCCATATGGGCGAGTCCTCCAGAAGAGTACAAGTCATTTTAGATTTTGGAGGATAGTGCAATTACAAATATAGAAAGATGCCCCGATTCCAGAAGCTTCCCCTTCCTTAACGTGCAAAGTTGTTTTAACACCCATACACGGGACATCATCCGAAAGACTGATCAGTAATTTTAGTTGGCCAGCCCGGGAATAGAACCAACAAGGTCGAGGTTACAAATCTCGCGCTCTATGCGGGCTGGCTGCTTACAAAAATTCCGGTGCATATAATCGTAAAATTCGCTCATATCTAGCACCCGACTGCGGATCGAATACTACATGATCAAGGAGTACTACATGATATTTTTTTTCGATTTTCGTATTGACCGTGCATTTCATACTATGTTTTTCACGTATTTGCCGTTTCTGTTAAAATAAAAAATTTGCCTTTATAGTCAATCAATATTTCACGTTTGAAGTGAATATTTGTGATGTTTTTTTTTGAAAATATAAAAAGGGAGATATTTAAGAAAAAATAATTTTCAGGGTCATCTGTCCTTTAGAAATGCATTAGTACTTTCATATGAAATAAGTATTTTAAGTTTAAAGTGAATATGTTTGAAATTAGCCGTAACCAAAACGTTAATCAGAGCGAAAACATCTTAGAGAAATAAGGGGAATAACTTTGCAAAATATAACTAGGATTATCTGCCTTTTGATATTGCATCATATGATCATAGTGAACAACTAAACCACGTTTAAAATAAATTCGGTAGTTTCTGAGAAAATAAAGGAAATTACTTAAACCAAATTCTGAGTGACAATACCATAATACCTTTAATCTGTTGTCCATCAGGGTTACAAATGAAAATGTTAAACAAAAGAAAAATACTTATCTATTGAGAATTTATTATCAATTATCCTTTCTAGCCTAAAGATTACATTATATAGCAGCTCAAAACCTCGATATCTATGTTCATTAAAGAAACCAAGTAAGACAAAGATAATTTTTGTGTAATGGCAATTACAATTAAAATAACTATGAGAATGTTAAAAAGTAATATAATTCTACTTTCAACATGATTTTAACATGAATTTACATCTTGCGACATTTAACGGTAGTGTTGCGACATTTAACGGTAAGGGAAATTCGTGCGACATTTAACGTTAACATTGCGACATTTAACGGCAAATGATTTTGCGACATTTAGCGGCAGTTGCGACATTTAGCGTCAATGGTGCGACATTTAGCGGCAAGTGCGACATTTAGCGGCGTTGCGACATATAACGATGCCACACTGATCTCTTTCTTTGAGTTCATTTATAATTAAATCTTTTGTTCTAGTTTTTCAATTGTCTGAGCTTGTGTATGGACGTCATGTTCGAGAACCTCTACTCTCTTAGTCATTGCACTAAGGAAACTTAGTAAACTGGGTAAACAGGTTGATTGTCAATATTGTCACTGGTATATAATTCACTAGCAGTTGAAGAGCGTTTTCTTGCTTTCATTTGAGCTCATCATGATACATAAATAATTTCAACATAAATCTTCGATAAATATATAAATATCACACTGTTCAACAAAAGCATATGTCATGCGTTGTCAGGGACGGTAGACCCTCAGGCTATTTTGCGCTCACAAATTGCTCACAAAAAGTCTCTCCACACATTCAATTTCTAAAAGTTCAAGATAATCTCTTTATGCAACATTCAAATTCAAACTTACATATTTTAATAAAATTCCATATCCTTCATGAATGCAACAGTAACTCAATTATACGAATTTAACATTTACATCGCTATAAAAATCGTGAAAGCCTTTAGCCAAAATACAATATTGTTTTGTTTACATTTACCCGGTAGTCACCACCTTTTAACCAATAGCAAAAATATTACCACACATTGATGGACAAAAGATTACTTCACATTGATGGACAAAAGATTACCTGACATTGATGGACAAAAGATTACATCACATTGATGGACAAAAGATTACTTCACAATGATAGACAAAAGATAACCTCACAATGATAGACAAAAGATAACCCTACATCGATGGACAAAAGATTACTTCACATCGATGGATAAAAGATAAACCCACATCGATGGACAAAAGATAACCCAACATTGATGGACAAAAGATAACCTCGCATCGATGGACAAAAGATTACTTCACATCAATGGACAAAAGAAAACCCCACATCGATGGACAAAAGATAACCTCGCATCGATGGACAAAAGATTACTTCACATCGATGGACAAAAGATAACCCCACATCGATGGACAAAAGATAACCTCGCATCGATGGACAAATGATAACCTCACTTTGATTTAGTATTACTTGATTTTATTCATGCTCTTCGTATAACTTCACCGTGGTGCAGTGGTAACGCGCTCGTTTAGAGTGTCATAGGTCTGGGGTTCAAATCCCATATAAGGCAACTATTTTTTTTATTTTTTTTAAAAGTTTCTTTGTTAAGGAAGTAGCCACGTTAACCTAGGATAAAGTGTGGCTGTCATAAAAATGAACATAAATGATATTTTGATGCAACTCTAGTCATGCAAAATTCCGTATGTATCAAACTCTGGTGCCCTGCAAGAAGAATTATAGTACATAAAAATAAACTTAATCAGGAAAATAATACATAGAGGATATTTGTTTGTTTTGCATGTAAGATTGAAATATAATTTCACTGAGTGAACACCAGATGCAATATTTTCACGAGTGGCGTAGCCACGAGTGAAAATATAATAGCTGGTGTTCACGAATGAAATATATTTCAATATTATATGAAAAACAAATAAATTTTCTTTTTATTTCATGCTTTTTAAGTGATTTTTAGTATTTTTTACTGATTTTGCCGCGTAACGTCGCACTATCTCCTTTGTGACGTCATCACATCATGACGTCACATCATCAATTTGAAATATAGTTCTGTTAAATTTCTCTAATGTTGTTACATTTTTAACATGATGTATGGTGACATCGACTTTCTTTTCCTAAAGAAGCAAAATTTACGTATGACGGCATTTATTTCTGTCTGTTATTCCCTTTAGTTATGATTTTCTTTTCATCCGCATTCAGATATAGTCCGGCTACAGTGAAAATTATATTTTATAAATTTCACTAGTGGTTTATCAGAATATAATCATATGATATATTACAATAAAACACTGGAAAGCATGAAATAAAGATATACAGTGCGATTTAGATTGCAAAGATCAGAAAATACCACAGAGCTTGCAGCCCTTTGATTAAATAGTAGGGCTTTTCCAGCATTCATTCAAAGTAAAGTGTTATGAATTAAGTTTGACCTCGGGCATGTTGGCAACTAGCATAGACGCGAAAGTACGTCCGATCAACTCTTTAACCAGACATGCACATTTCAGCTTCCGTAGCTAGATTTATTTTCGTGACTGAAGTCGCTCAAAGACTGCACATTTCATATACTCAAAACAGAAAGTGCACTTACCTGAGCAATGCTTGTATGTGAAAGTCTGTTTAAATCAATGCGATACAATATGTCTGTACATTTGTGAGCCTGAAAAAGAAGCTTATTTGTGTGCAAGGTGCATAAAAAAGAATTAGCTATATTTCAGAACATTTATACATTGTTAACCCATTTTTATGAATAAATATTGTACTAATAATTTTCAACAAATAAAATATATTCCATTTCCATGAAACTTAAATTTTAAGATATTTAATAAATATCAAATGACTTTGTTTTGATATATATCATAATTGTACTTATGACATAATCATAGTATCGAAATATATAAATAAGAAATTTTCAAAAGAAAATATGGTTGCTATGTCGACATCAGTGTGCCAATTCAAGTGACATTTAATTGAAGATATTATAAAATATCGATGAAATATCACATTATAAAAACAAGTTTTGAACCAATGAGCTTCTCTTATCTGTGCAATGATACCCTGTTTTATTTAGAATAAGTAATCGTTTGCTTTGATTAAATATAACACGCAGCACATTATGTAGAAGTATGATGTTGTATAGCATTATATATTATCTATTGTTCATAATATTAATCCAATTCGAAACGTCAAAAAAGTGAATAGTACAGTACAGGTGGTTGATCCTTTAAAGGTTTAAACTTTGTTACTTTTTAAGCGGTACAAGAAATATTTCATGCGCACGCTGCAAAGTAATATGAAAAAAATAAATACTTTCAAGTCGCAGAATTAAATGATCATTCTCATTGTGTGCATTTTATCTTTGCATAATATAAATTTACATTTAAATATTTTGAATATTATAGTGATTAAATATATACATCTATTCTCCCATTTAGCTTGCTACAAAATAATACTGAATCAAATAATCATGATTTACACAAAAATTAATGGGACACAAACATTGTACCATTGTCTGGCAAAAGAAAGTTATTTTCATATGAATCAATTGTCTTCATATTCCATTACAAAATTTTATTCTTATATTGATGAATTAAAAGCTAGTTCGTGCAGACGGGTTTTTTATGCAAAATCGAGCTGAGATTAAAATAATTACATAAAAGAAGTGGAAATTGGTCTTATACAACATACCATAAAATTGACTGCTCCACCAAGTAGAAATACAACTGTCAGTTGGAGTGTACTCAACGAGATCGACCACCAAGTTGCTGCGTAGGAGAAAGTATGAACGCCGTCCGTGACAAATATCACGAAATATAGCGTGAGCACGATTATAGGAATCGTCGACGCTACAGTTGTCATGATGAACGTGGACAAAATGTCGTCTGCACGTAAAATCATGACGCAAATTTTATCATGTCGTTGTCTAAAACTTTCGATATCTTCAGAGAACTTTTCAGGATTCTCAAAGTAGCTTTTGATCGTTTTGTATAACTCTTGTAGCAGACGGCAAATTGTGATACAAATTATTGCAAACTGGGAAGTCAACAAAAACCATGTTGAAATGAAGAAGAAATAAGCAACAATGATAAATATAGTGATCGGTAAAACAAGTTCTTCTGGAACATACAGTATAAAACCGGAAGGGGGTCTTGGCGAGCTCATGCCTACACCCATAAACGCTGCCGCAATCAAAACCCAAAATATGTAGCAGATGACAACTAATATGCTTAATTTCCGGTTGAAGCGTTTGGAATCAGTTTTATATTCGTTTTCATATTCGTTCCATCGCTTATAAAATCGTTGCCATCTCCATGCACGTATTGCATTGTTCAACGAAAATAACGCAACCTGCATAAACCAAATAGAAGATATCAAACTATTCAAAAGAGCACCGTCAAACCCTTTGACATTTATGAATTCACCAAGAGAAAATATGAAATTGAAAATTAGCAAAACTGGTACAAATCCACGATATATATTGGACAGTCTTCGGAAAAGTAAGCGTTCTTTAGTTCCTGACCAACAGCGTTGGTGTAATCCAGTAAACTTTAAACACCAAAGAAAATATTTCATATCAATTTCAAATCCATCATCAGCAATGTTTTCCGAATTTTCCTTTCCTTTACAGGGAAATATGTTAATAACCGATATAGGCATTCTTTAAAATAGATAATTTTTTATCAGCATAAACTACTATAACATTTCTAACAAATTTGATGTGCTTGTCGATAGATATATAGGTGAATGATCATTCAACTGATTTTATTCAGACTGAGATGTGTTTTCATAAATCACGTATGATCGCAATTAATATCTGAAAATTTGTAAATATTTGCAAAAGTGTCCATCACTTTATGAGAAAATTAAACAATGTCGGTAACACAAGAGTTCGAATATCTGGAATCAATTACGTCAAGTGGTCCGAGCACAAATTTTAAATGGCATTCGGTGTTATTAACGAGATGACCTTACGCTTATACAAACAAACTCAAAGCATATTTGTTATTCTTCTTCTTTACGGTTTTATTTTCTTTTTTATTCTTCATATGAAAAACACTTTAACAACTAAATTGTCAGAGGTCTATACTATTTGCAGCTGTAAAGCAAGTGTACTAGTTTATTTCAATTGACAAAAAGGAATTGCTAGAATAAAAATTCAACTGTTTCTTAAAAGGAGTATATGAAATTTCATATTCAAATGTTAAAAGAAATATGGATTATCTATAATGAAGTTAAGGAAAAAAGTAATTTCACAATATTACATTACTTGTACTTTAACTCATATCGAATCTTGGATCCATTTTGTATCTTCCCCGTTTCATGTGGTCAGAGCTGGTACGCCATTCTTCTCAATTCAGCAAGATCGGCTGTGGCGCCGTTATATGTCGCAACACCGCTAAATGTCGCACTTACCACTAAATGTCGCACCATTGCCGCTAAATGTCGCAACCGCCGCTAAATGTCGCAAAATCATTTGCCGTTAAATGTCGCAATGTTAACGTTAAATATCGCACGAATTTCCCCTACCGTTAAATAGGTCCTTTAATGGATACATGTGGTTGGAACTGTTCGTGCTATAAAACACGCATTGTTGTTTTTGTTGTTTTTTTGTTGTTGTTGTTGTTGTTGTTGTTTTTTTTCCTTTTTGTTGTTTTTTGTTTTTCACTTCATTTTTTTTTGCTTTATATTGTTATGATGTAAAGGTTCATAGTTGGTTGAAATGTTTTCTTCTCACAAGAATTCAGACGGACAACTTTCACTGAACCAAAACAAAAGACAAACAAATTATTTCCGATACTATCATGGCTTCGTTCTTGGTCTGGTTTCTATAAAGTGGTTAAATAAACAACTTAATGAACCTGCATCAATATTTAATTGTAAGTACCATCCCAATATTTTTGAACTGTAAATGACCCAGGTTATAATCATTATTATCATTTTACTTTACTTTGTTGTATTTTTGTTGTTGTTGTTTTTTATATTAATTTTGTTTATTGCGGTTTTTGTGTTTTTTTTGGGGTTTTTTTTTGCTTTGCCTTTTTTATTTTATCTCATTTCATTTTGACAAGAAAACCATTTCGGACCTATAAGGACATCGCGGGTCCCTTTTTGGATCATCGGGTGATTTAGAACCTATGAGATTCTTATAACATTAGAAAAATGTGGCTGTATATAAAACAGTGGTTTTAAAGACAACAGAATGTAAACAAAGCCGTACTTTATTTCCATACAAAATAGTATTACTTAATCACTATATCTTACTAATTGCTAAAAAAGAAAAGAAGCCAAAGATGGTACAATAATATGCCAAAAGAGTATATTTTTGAAAACTCTAACAGGACTTAAAAATAAGGTTCTTTAAGAAAATGAAAATAATATCATTCTTTGAATATTTGCAGTCCTGTTATGTCTAAAATAATCTTAGTGGAGTCTCTTTAATAAAAATCTATAAATGATGAAATTTATCGTTATAAATTCAACCTATATAATAAATAAGGTATTATTGTACATGTTATATGTCGCATGTCAAACAGAAACTCCAAAATTTAGGTACATGTTATGGTTTTGTAAAGACTGTGTACTGCTATTTTAATATTATATTTATACAAAATGTATATTTATATATTAGTAGGTGATATAAACGTTATCTTAATTTTTCTTTATTAATGTTTTGTTCTATATATTACTAGAACATAACCTGCAATTCATTGTAGAAGTAACATCTATACAAAAAACAACACAAAATAATAAATGAAATAAAAACAAAGCTTTATGCTGAAGTGAAAAAGTTTTAATACCAGCAACTTCCAGCGATTTAATTGAATGTACGTACATATAGGTTCCGTTTTTTTAAGATATCATTAAATAATAAATATCATCGTTGAACATACCATTTTACATAAAAGTGACACAGAATTTGAATATCATATATATATATATATATATATATATATATATATATATATAATCATGCGTATTCAATCCTGCATTGCTATGACAACTGGCGTATACATATGGCAACGTCTGGAGAAACTATTAACAATATGTGCAATTCTGTAACAATTAAAACATTTGTATCAACGGCCGTTTTGGCTGACTTAATTAAAACAGATAAAAAGTTAATGAAAAAATATGTATGACCAAATTTACTTCTAAATGTAAAGACAACAAGAGCATAAAAATTCATTAGCCTTTGATTATAATCGACTTAATGAAATTAACTGCAGAAATGATGTGAATCGCATCCATTGCTACGACAGCCCCGAAAATTGTAACCATGCTAGCGACTCCTACCGCTCCAATAACCGCAGACGATCTCCGCTCGTCTGGCATCGACATTTTTGACCTTTTAAAAGCCGACGTTTTTGAGACGGGAACTGTGAGATTTTTTACAATTTCTTTCACAACCTCTTTTAATTCCGCGGATGTATAATTCCGTGTCGCGTTAGAACAAATGCATCCTTTGTTTGCAGTTTGTCCTTTCTTGTTGGACTCGGTTGTCGACTCTAGAGAGATGGTTGTCTCTTTTGTAGTAGTAGCATGTGGAGTATTTTCCGAGACTGCATTTGAAGTCGGATTGTTTGTCCCATTTTGGTTGCCATTTGTAGAAATTGGTGTAACTGTAAGGTTACCTGCTGAATTTGTGGCAGCAGTTGAGAAATCGTTTGGAGTGGCTGATGGAACTGGATTATTTACTAGTGTATTTATCGCAGTTGAGAAAGAGTTAAGGGTGGCCGAGGGAACTGGGTTACTAACTGACGCATTTATCGCAATTGAGAAAGAGTTTAGAGTGGCCGAGGGAACTGGATTATTACCTGGTGTATTAATTGCAGTTGAGAAAGAGGTTAGAGTTGCTGAGAGAACTTGGTTATTTACTGGTGTATTTATCGCAGTTGAGAAAGCGTTAAGTGTGGCGGTAGATACTAAATTATTTATGAATTGATCTGTCGTCGTCGTTGAGTGGTGATTTTGAGTAGTCGATGTTACAGGATAATTAACTAGTGGGTTTGTCGTCGTAGTTGAATGGTGATGCGGGGTAGTCGTTGTTACTGAAAGGTGACCAAGACGGCTAGACGCAATTGTATTCCAATTGTATGTTGTTGTTGTTGTTGTTGTAACTAGCTGCATATCTGGTGGAATCTGCGTAAATGAACTGTAGATTGCTGAAGTGTTTGATACTGTTTGAGGACCCGACTGGTATATCGTAGTTAAATTGGCATTTGATGAATCTGTTAAATTTTAAATGAAGAAAGTACAAAACTCGGTAAATATCCTGTCACGTAAAATATTTGTACAAAAAATAAACTTGTATCCGTTGTCGACAACGTGATCAGGGAAGATTTTAGTATAGCAACGCATTTTTGTAATTTATTTTTCTTTTTGTGATCGCAAGAAAATAAATAAATTGATCAAATTGTGATCACATTCTTTAAGATAAAGTATTATTCTGTTCACGAACAGATGCTTTGGTCATGTCCTGTTACATTTACAAAGTAAATGTGATAAAGATATTAATCAAATGCATTCTTATCAGTACTGACTTAATGTAGTGCCATTTCTACAGATTGAGTGTAACCTTTACATTTTAGGAATAGTCACCTCTAGTAAGAAATCAATCCATTTACTTTAGGAACGGCGAAATTTCTGCATTCAACATTACCATATTTAAATGTATGTTATTTTTTTCATTGATTATGTCCAAATTTCCATATAAAGTATGACCAAATTTATATATTAGGTATTGTAAAAATATTAACAAGTATGGCCAAATTTCTGTTTTGACTATGACCACATTAATATATCAAATATGGTAAAATTTCTTTAACAAGTATGGCCAAATTTCTGTTTTGACTATGACCAAATTTATATATCAAGTATGGTAAAATTTCTTTAACAAGTATGGCCAAATTTCTGTTTTGACTATGACCAAATTTATATATCAAGTATGGTAAAATTTCTTTAACAAGTATGGCCAAATTTCTGTTTTGACTATGACCAAATTTATATATCAAGTATGGTAAAAATTTCTTTAACAAGTATGGCCAAATTTCTGTTTTGACTATGACCACATTCATGTTTTAAGAATGGTGAAATTTCACTTTTTATTATTGTCTGGCCAAGTAATTATAGAAACCATGCATGGATAATATTTCTTTTTATGGCACTATTTATTTGTTCAGTACGGCCATATTCATATATCAAGTATTGTCGCATTTAAAAGTTTATTTAGGTAAATAAAATATTGATAAAATGTTCTTTGCACTCTTACATATCAAATAGCACTTTAATGAAGGACAATGTATGAATAAAGAAAGGCTTGAATAAATTGCTAACTTGCTAAGTTGCTGAGTTGTTAAGTTGCAATTCCACTGAAGATTGCTAAAAATATTCAAAATTAGATACCAGTATGTGTGGAAATATGTGAACATACTACAGAAAACATCTTAAACATGAAACATATCAAAATAAATTAACTTTTTTCACCTGAAAAAAATCACAACTTACTGCTTTGCATGACGCAGGCGTTTATTCTAACTGTCATATCTATATATGTTGTGCTGGTTGCCGGCTGTATATCAAAGATGTGTACATATTTCCCGGCGGCGTTAGAGAACGTTATGACGATAGAATCAGAAGAGTTTTTCGAACCAAAGAGTGTTTCGCCACCAATATCTACAGCAGCTGCAAACAAGGTACCTGTATAAAAAATAAACGTACAATGTTTGTGTTATTTCTCATTTATTTTATAAATAGTGAAAACAATTGAAATAGGCCAGATACAAAGTTTATTTATAAGCAATTTGGCTGGTGGTTACAAAATAATAATTTTGTTAACAGATTTATCTCAAAGGTAATAATGGTGATTACCTTTGTTTCATGCAGAAGTTGCCATTGAAGGGCATGTACAACTTTTTCATTTCATTATTGTAACCGGACTTCTTGTGTTTTGTTTAAATATACTGGTAACTATATAATACGAATTAAGTTCTTGAATGCTTTCGGCAGTTGTTACCTAATGAGTCTGTCTTTTGTGATTATCTCTTAAATTTTTTACGAGATAAAGGGCCGTGACTAAATTTTCCGAAACATGCCTTATCCGAAAGTTTGCAATTCCAACGCGTTGCGTGTATATGAGTTAAAATTTGACTCAAGTTTACATGAAGCGTTCAGTATAGTAAACATAGACGAAATAATAAAATAATAGGGAGATAGACGTACAATCATAAGGTTAAATAAAAATACTAAAATGTCAAACTGTGTATAGTTTACACATCCATTTGACTGAATTTACCTCTTAACTCTACACTTTTCACAGGAATGTCAACGTCCATGCTGAGGTAAATGGTAATTGAAATATCTTCCATTATTGTACCAAGCATGAGACCCCCACCTCCAGGTCGGAGAGCGTCAAAAGCAACGATTGGTCTCGGCTGAAACCATGCCCGGACTGACACATTGTTAGTGTCAAATAGATTCTGTATAGGTGTCATACTTGAGAAAAGATTTCCTGTAAAAAGCATGTGTAACTTCATAAATACAGAAAACGTTTATCAACTGATATTTTGTTACAGTTAACACCGGATGGAAAAAAATGAAACGATCGAAACTCATTCTACAAGCATATACTAGTAACAATACATTTTATTATTAAGCTTTGCTCCAACTTTGCCAACATGATTTACGTTAAAATTATAAACAGGACTTAAACATACCCGGTCCTAGGAAGAATCCGCTTATATTTAACGCAACTGTGAACACAGAATTTACAACAGGGTCGTCAGCTCTAACTTGTATTTCTAAATATTCGCAACAAAATGCCGGCATGTTCGCGACTTTCAGGTCAGCGAACAATTCACGATGAAGGACGTTTGCGGGAACGTGTCTGATGATAGCGTCATTCAAAGAAACTTCTTCTAGATTTCCAGTTGAATGGTTAGTGCAATTTGTATACGTTAAGTATTTTATTGTTATTTCAGCATCAACTGATACCAGAATTTCAAGATTGTTAACCCAGAATTCGGCTGCATCGTGAACGAAAACATCGATATATCCTGCCGATACGGCTGGTACGGTAAATTCACCTCCGTTAGAAAAATTGACAAATGAAAGCGTGAACTGGGTTATATCTATAGCATGGTCGGGTATTATATCCTTCCTTGACATCACTTCCATTTCACTGCAGACGGCTGAAAATAGTCAAGAGTTACATAAAAAAATTGACAGTATATCAACTTTATATTTATTTTAACAAAATCACAGCAACATTTTCATTTTTCTTTATTGGTTCTCAAAACAGTAATTTATCTTTAGTAAAATATTGCTTTCACTCAGCATGATTTTTTTAAATTATAGTCATCTTGCGTTGGAAATAGTAAACTGTTTACAATGACAGAAGAAATGTACGCGTTCGGCAATAAAATGCTATTGTATGGTCATACTTCGTATGTTAGTATTTCGGAACATGTCCGTATATCTGCATTAAAATGAGCACACGTTAATCGTTATATGCCCCTATGATAAAAATGTAAAAGGAAAAGTCAAATTTAAGCTATGATCATGGTTTGCTTGGAAGCATCAGCGAGGTTTAATGCAAGAGTAAACATGGCTGCGAATGAATCTTGTGGCACAACAACTGTGCACTGCATACCTTTAGAACGGTTGAATAAAATGGTTCCTTGAAGAATGCTTGTTTAGATCTACACAGATGTGACAAAGAAATTGGTTTATTATTGTTTATAAGGATTGTGGCGAACGAAAGTAATACTGCTGTATTGCAGAGAAATAGGCAAAGTAGTTTGCCAGATTATTATTCTAATACTTTAAAATATAAAATACAAAAAAACGGTATTTATAAGTTTTGGAACACAGAATTACGTCCGCAAAGCATTATCCCAATCATCTCAAAACAAATATAAAATTAGAAGAAAAAAATCCTGAAACTAAAGTTTATTGATGGATGGATAGAAATATTCAGATGTTTTATAACATAGCAAAGCAACAGCTCTTTGTCCAATGCAATACAGTGCCCTTCTAGATGGAAACCACGTGTTTAAGCAGGTTTTAATTTAAGCATGGTTCCACGATATTAAGTATCGGTTATGCCCCGGTCACATATTCACGGATAATGCCACGGAAGAGCTACGGTCTAATTGTTCACGGATTACTACGGAAATGTGAAATTCCGTAGTCCGCTACGGTTCCAGTACGGACACACAACGGTATGAGTACGAAGTCCGACGGATTTACCACCAAAATCCCCCGGAGAGACGCGGATTGCTACGGACCGACACGGTTTGATACGGAGCGACACGAATCAGGACGGACGCACTACGGATACACTACGGTCTGCTACGGTATAAGCACGGGTTAGTACGAATAAGTACGGTCTGATACGGAGAAGAACGTATTGATACGGAGAAGAACGAATTGCCACGGATCTATACGGGCCTAATACATCCGTCCACAACCTCTTGCTTGCTCATTTTCAAAATGCCTCAAAAGAAAAGAACACCTAGAAAACGAATTGCAGCGTTGAATGATTTTAGCGGAGAGGATTCAGCCTAATCGCGTCCGAACCCCGACACACATCAGGTCCAATTAAAGTGAATTTCTTGAAGGACGCTGGATCCTCAACAAGTTCGGCCATAAGAGCCTCATACTAAACATGAAGCTGTCTTCGTAAAAGCCTATCTCTAGTCCACCATCTCTGTCTTCTAATACCTGATTAGATATTGACTAGTAATCATTAATGAAAAATGTTGATCAATACTGCTTCTCTTTTAATTTTAAGATTTGCTGTTTATCTTACAATTACATTACTTATCGTGATGTTTATGTAAAAAGCTTGTTAATTAATCTTATTATCACTCAAGGGACAGTGTCCGAGGCTTATGAGACACTTCGTTTTATGTACATATTTACTCCATTTTTACGATCCAATGTTTGAAAAATATGTAACATTAAATGTTATTCTATTTCTTATGAATTTTAGCACGATATTTATATAAATTTACTTCTATGCATGTCATCAAGCAGCTTGACCACTGCCTCCGCATTCTGAGCCATTTCAATATAAAGTTGCAGCCAGTAAATGGCAATTATCATTTATTAAATGTTTGTGGAAATACACATGTCTGTTTGTAACAAGATGGTGGTATGTATACACTTGAAAAAGTACATGATACTTAATTCATCCGTACTAAACAGTGGTGGGCCGTACCATTCCGTACCGTTTCGTGTTGCAACGCAATAAACCGTATAAGACCGTGCTAATCCTTGCCTCTCCGTAGTACAACGTATTACGATCGTGGCTTTCCGTGGCAATACCGTATTAATCCGTATTAAAACCGTAGCTTATACGTAGGGTAACCGTACAAATTCGTAGTTCTCCGTACCAAACCGTGGAAATCCTTGACAAGTTGGTGGACTACGAATCAGTACGGACTATTACGGTTTTCGTACGGACCAGTACGTATCAGTACGGATTAATACGGACTAGTAGGGATACGCTACGGTTGATTTTTCCGTAGCAAATTTTTGTGCATGTTCAAAAATTGTCAAGGATCGCTACGGATATACAAGGACTACTACGATTGATTACGGTTAAAATACGGAGAGCTACTGACCAGTACGGGTAGCTACGGACGATGCCGGAATTAATCCGTGGCTCTTCCGTAGGCGTATTCCGTGAATATGTGACCGGGGTATTAACTACCCTCATTACATGAAATCAGACATCTGTTCAGACGTAGAAAAGAAAGCCTTGTCTATCTATGTGACGATAATGTAAATAAAAAACGTTTTGCAACAAAGCAAAAACAAAATAAAATGGGTCCCGCAGTGCTAAGCTGTATCAATGTAGTTGTGTTTTATTGAAGAATCGCAAAATAAATCGTGTCATTCCGCAGTAAATCCTGTCATTCAGCAGTAAATCATGTCCTTCAGCAGTAAATCGTGTCATTCCGCAATAAATCGTGTCATTCCGCAATAAATCGTGTCATTCCGCAGTAAGTCGTGTCATTCCGCGATAAATCGTGACATTCCGCACTAAATCATGCGTCTTATTCTCATCCATAAAAGACTCGGCTGCCTTGCAGCTAAAAAAATGCATTACGCCAACTGCGACAATGAGTTTCTCTTTGTATGACGCATAAAGTAATGTCAACTTGCTTATCATTGATATCACTCCCCTGCGTCACCTCATAGTCTAAATAATACTACTAGTGAAAGACTAGTAATAATAGTATTTAAATTCAAAAATTCGGTTGCCTAGATATGCTGTGTACTAGTATATCCTGTAACGCATAAATGTGAAAATAAAGCAGGAATTGTGCAACAGTAATGCCAAATTGCAACAATACGTAAGCAGGCCAAAAAAGTAAATCAAATATTGAATGGCTCTGAATTGTCGCATACGACTGCTTAAACAATTTATTTTTATCTTCATTAGAAATATTTACAGGTTTACAAGAACATTTATGAGAATGACCTGGCCACTTTGAAGTTTTGTGGGTATCCTTTGGGAAAGATAAAAACGTATGATATAAATATATATAAAATAATACGTTATTTGGTTTGATATTCTTTATACCTGAGAAATTTGCCAAACTACTACTACTCGTGCGTGTCGAACAATACTGAAATAAGCAGATAACATTCACTTCGGGGACTTTTTAACGTAACGCCGATAACGTGAATGATGCACCGTGACAACGCGGGACCGTGGCAATGAGGGACCGTGGAAACACGGGATATACATGGGCAAGAGGAAAAAGTGCACTACATACGTTTATTCCATTCCGCCTTTACTGCCATGTATTCTGCCAAGACGAATTTACCTGAAAAAGAATTATGACATTACCGGTATCTACGTCACAATGGCAGAAATAGCAGAAGAAAATGATAATTAGTATAGTACAAGCAATTTTTCTTAGAGAATTTTATTTTAATTTCTGTAAAGAATTATGTCATAAGAAGAGGCATTTCGACGCTTCCATATACAAACAACGTCGGTGCTTTTTTTCATTTTTTTATAAATCATAAACTGAAATTTTGTGAATATTTTTTTAAAAACACGGTGGATGTAATAAATGTAAAAGTGGATGTAATGGATGTAATAGTATTGACATCAGTGGTTGATGTAATGGATGTAATAGTATTGCCACAAGCGGTTGATGTAATGAATGTAATAGTATTGACACAAGCGATTGATGTAATGAATGTAAAAGTATTGACACAAGCGGTTGATGTTATGAATGTAATAGTATTGACACAAGCGGTTGATGTAATGGATGTAATAGTACTGACGCAAGCGGTGGATGTAATAAATGTAAAAGTATTGACACAAGCGGTGAATGTAATAAATGTAAAAGTATTGTCACAATCGGTGGCTGTAATAGTATTGTCACAAGCGGCTGATGTAATGGATGTAATAGTACTGACACAATCGGTGGATGTAATAAATGCAAAAGTATTGACACAATCGGTGAATGTAATAAATGTAAAAGTATTGTCACAATCGGTGGCTGTAATGGATGTAATAGTATTGTCATAAGCGGTTGATGTAATGGATGTAATAGTACTGACACAAGCGGTGGATGTAATGGATGTAATAGTACTGACACAATAGGTGGATGTAATGGATGTAATAGTACTGACACAATAGGTGGATGTAATGAATGTAATAGTATTGACACAAGCGGTGAATGTAATAAATGTAAAAGTATTGACTGTAATGGATGTAATAGTATTGTCACAAGCGGTTGATGTAATGGATGTAATAGTATTGTCACAAGCGGTGGATGTAATAAATGTAAAAGTATTGACACAATCGGTGGCTGTAATGGATGTAATAGTATTGTTACAAGCGGTTGATGTAATGGATGTAATAGTACTGACACAATCGGTGGATGTAATGGATGTAATAGTACTGACACAATCGGTGGATGTAATGGATGTAATAGTATTGACAACAGAAGTGGATGCAGTATTAGTTTATATGAATGTCACGATTATCCAATGAAAAGCGAGTCAATAAATCATGCAATATCATAATTAAAGCTACCACATACAACACTAAAAAAACTTACTTGTAACCTGTCTTACACTAAGTCTTCTACCCATCAAATTGTCAGTAGAATTAAAATATAAACATCTCGCAAGAACAGGAGCAAACAAATATGACGAACTCATCTCAAATGTCTGAAAGAATATAAATATGAGTATATTTGTATTTACAAACAAGCCACACAAACACGATTTCGAATATTCATAACTTAGTTCTTTTTTGTACATATTTATAAAACATGAAGACCTTTGTTTGTGTAGTTAATTTCTTAGTTTATTGTTTTATTTTGTATTGGTGTCGGTGTGGTCTTTTTCAAATAGTAGCTTTATAAACTCAATACAGCTTCTAAAAAAACTATTTTAGCTGTTCTTACTACCAAACCCCCCCCCCCGCTACTCCCTGTTCTCGCCACACCCCAATCTGTAAAAATCCTGGCGTTCATGCCGTTGCTATGTGCATAAACAATGTTACATATTTTAACTTACTGTAATTTCTCCATTGTTGAAGCCAAGATACCAATCTTCGATAGTTTGTAAATTGCCATCTACCAGTTCTATGCATGATCCTTGGAAGATTTGAACGTTGAATGAACCGCTCCCTTGTTCTATTTTTAGACCATCAATGTATACTTTGCTTCCTAGGTCGACCTGAAGAAGAAACACATCGAATTTTTAATCGCTTGAAAAAAGGGTTCATTTATTGTATAAATCTGACTGAACTTCACCAAATGATGCAGTGGTGTCCTTTAAAACATAAAATATGAATAACAACAGCGAAATAATATAGATGTGCATGTACATTTTTGAAGCATTTAATACTAGACAATGGTTACCCAGCTCCCATCCACGGATAATATGGAGGACTTTAATTTTGGAACAAATTAATCCTTGGTAAACTCCCCACCCTAGAAGGGGCGCACATACTAAAACCTCTAAGTATGAAAGCTATTTATCACCAAAGAAAAATATTTACAGTTTAACTTACTGTATGATCACTGCCAATGTTATATGTCCTTGTTTCATCCTGAATATTGTCGTCTGTCATACCATAAAGCACTTTGATTACTTCTGGATCTGAAGAACACGAGAATAAAATTACATCTCAAGCTCTTGTGCAAAGAGTTTGATAATGACATAAATATTGTAATGAAATTATTTTTGAATAACTTACAAAAAATAAAGCTAAAGGAATTTGTGTTTGATGGAGCAAGAATTACAAAAAAACAACACTTTATTTATTTATTTATTTATTTATTCATTCATTTATTTATTGATCTAAATATTTATCTAAATATCTATTTACATGTATTTATTTATTTTTAATCTGTGACAGGAGGTATTTGTTTAAAAAAAACCATGGTGCATATAATCTCGTTAATATTTAATAAGTAATTCATTTTTAGTTTATTTAACATGCATTCACATTCCCAGAAGAAAAAAGCACGAAACCTTAGTGTTCGAAAACATGAATATTAAAAATAAAACAGGCGCAAAAATCGAGACTGCCAGCATGTCACCTTCATGATCATAATACATACCTAGTGTATAAATGTCCGCTATGGCAAACGAGTCTGGTAAAGTGTAATACTTTTTCCCACATGACCAATCATCCTCGCATACACTGTCACATTCATTCTTTTCATAATCCGGAAGTTTGCCAAGAGGAACGCACGCTCGAGATATCTGTAAATAAAAATGAATGGAAATTTAATAGCAGCCGTCCTGTAGAGCGTTGGACTATGAATGGGGCGACCTGGGCTCGATTCCCGGACAGCGCAGATTACTTGCGTTGTACTTGATCATTAAATTCTTACTACGGTCATTTATACCTTTGCTCTGTTTCAGTTCCCTGCGAAAAGTGAAGCCAGCTATAGTACTGGTAAACTGATTGACAGCCTGTCCGGAAACGATGTGTTGAATGAGCTGTAATCTGGTTAATTCATTGTGGCTTACTGCCGTGATCCGGATTAAAAAATATCAGCACCACCACCATTTAATAGAGGAGTGGGAAAGGCTTAAAATGTGCTTAAAATGTGCTATACTTGTTTCGACGCCACCCAAAAATGACCTTATAAATACCCACTTATGTTTCGTTTGGAATACATGTATGTCCATTTTTACATTCATAAGATTTCGTTTGAACGAACTAATTAATCATTCATTCAAACGAAATAACATTTCTTGTAAACCAAAAATAGACAACAAAATTAATGATTGTATATAGTGTATAACGTTATTTTAAATCGTACACTTGTATTGCAATGTACCATGTTTCGCTACAGAGATACATAAAAGATATACACAATTTTGCATTACATTTTTTTCAATTCGTGATAACTGATTTTGTCGTCTCCACAGTTAGACAAATGTATAATCAATAACAACTAGAGCCTAGTATAGTAATATTTATCATGATATTGGTATATCCTCTGAAAACAAAAATGTTCTCACATGTATTTTAACAGATTTTAAACGAAATTAATAAACATTTTTTTTAAAAAATGAAACAATAGTATAAGTTAGAATGCCCACCTGTTGTGAAGATGAATTCTTGTACGAGAATATTCCATAATACATGCAGTTTTTAACAGTGAGACAATAATAAGTACACTCGAACACTTTCTCTATATTAATGAACGTATTAATTTGAATACCAGCACATTTCACATGTTCTGAAACAAACAAAAAACAAAATTACAAGCAAAAAAAAAATTTTTAACAGCAATTAATGTAAGAATTATAATAATTATCATTTAAATATTTAAGAATAAATAAATGCCAAATATTCAGAATGGTATAAACACTGTTAAACAAAATACGTTGTATATCGAATTCATTTTTATATTACAGTATCTTATGAGCGCCAAAAATGAGGTTTATATAGTGCTTTTATAAAAAGCCATTAATGATTTTCTTTTCAGAAGAAGATTATTTTAATCAAATTTGTGTCAGGTGTTTAGTTGAAAATTACTTAAATGGAACCGCACTATTTTGTTTTATATAATACGCATTTGATTGTTTTCTGGTGTCAGCGTAAGCGGGAACGGCTGAAATCAACCAATTACCGATTGATTATCAAGATATACGGTATTTTTCAGTTATTTCTTGTTTTAATTTCAACAAAATTTTTCTTTACCTATTTTTTTTACAAAGATAAATACTTGAATACTAAGATATTTATTAAAATACCCAACACAAAATAATTAAATTATCTACGTTAATCCGTACGTAAATCGTCCATCAATCTGTTAGATAAGTTGACATATCACGTGCCAAGTTAACATAAAAATGCCCCTCCATGTAACCAAAAACAGGTCACGTGCCCTTCCTGGCCTCAATAACCACTTGTTAACCATAAATGCACGGGGGTAAACATAGCACATAGTCAGACACTCATTATTTCAGCAAATATTTTATATACTTTACCTGCACTTTTGTTAAATCTTGTCAGATAATTTAAGTGATCATTAGCACTCATGATGAATTGGTTTCCTTTAAATGGTGAGAGATCGTTTGTTATCTGTAGTGCCATAAAGGAAAATCGATCATCATAACCAGAACTGTGAATGTATATATCCGGCCCATAGTACCTGAAAAAACGCAAATAGAAATTTGTATGTAATTCTTAAGTCATTTAAAAAGCGTTGTTCTGCTGGCTATAATACAGAAAATATGCAAGACGTCAAGATCGTAGACCGCTGTTACCCGCGTTTTTCTTTCAACAGCTTAACTTAAGGGTAGTGGTGGCATAGTGGTTAATTAAGGGATCATGGGTTCGAGCCCTAATTAGGTTACGACCATGTCTCTTCATATGACACTAGGGTAATGACGTCGTCATTTTAATTATTATTACAAAATGTATTATGAAAATGTATTATTCTAATGTCTTTCATTGTTTGTATTATTATATCAAGTGATACTTTCGGTTTTTCATTGTTTTGCATTTACGAGACTTCGTCCCTCTGCATAAAAACAAACATTTAAAGGAGATCGATTTAGAAACGTGGAAAGGTCAAATTGTATATGCAATTATTGTTACACGAATTGTGTTGAGGATGAATACCATTCCTGACTTGTTTGAACTCATAACCGTCTCATTTTGCTAATTGTCTGCTTGTCACACGAAGGCGAAAACCATGGGGGTTAATGCTGTTTTTGTTGAATTATTAGACACTGTAAAGATGATATGGCGAGTTTTACTCGTTGAAGAATACCTCACCACCTCAATTGCCCTCTGCGCATTTTTTTCAGGGCACTTGAGTAGGACCAAGTGCTGACGTTCGTAAGCTTGGTAGCTTCCTCTCATGTTAGAACTTATTGTCCCTGTCTGGTGTTGTATTCTTAGCATCGACGGATAAGAAGTTTGAAGTCAATGACCTTAACTACTCGGCCTATATATGGGGTGAATTTAAACCACTGCGTTAGACCGATGCAGTCCATTGCCCAGTTACGTGTGAAAATTATTTAAGAATGAGCAAATCTACTCAAAAGTTATGTAAGGTTTTGGACAATCGTGATTTTTTTTATTTAGTCTGTACCCGCGAGGCACGAGGGTACGATGGTGAAAACGCGATAGCACGATGGTACGATGGTGAAAACGTGATGGTACAATGATGAAGACGTGATGGTACGATGATGAAAACGCGTTGGTACGATGGTAAAAACGCGATGGTACGATGGTGAAAACGCGATATAACATCGCGTTTCAGCATCGTACCATCGCGACATCGCGATTTCACCATCGTACCATCGCGAGATCGCGATTTCATCATCGTACCATCGTGTTTTCATCATCGTACCAGCGTGTTTTCATCATCGTGTCATCGTACTATCGCGTTTTCACCATCAAACCATCGTGCATCGCGGGTAGGGAAGAAATAAAAAAATACGATTGTCCAAACGGAACACCGTAGTTATGTCACATCCAGAAAATCGAAGATATGTAAATAATTTCAATGACGTTTAGTCAGTGTAGAAAACAACTTACAAGTCAGTTTCAACGATCATTTTCTGGTATGACTGCAACAAGTAGGTTTGTAAGAAATCTTTGTCCAGGAAGCCATTGTCTTTGAAGTGATAATCTCCCATATATTCCTTCTCAGAGTTGTAAAATGTCAGCTTAACCTGGAAATATTTATAATTGTTTTAATCCATGTCATCTATAAATAGATGTTATTGCTTCGGCAAATTGCTATTTTTTATTATTTTTCGACCGAAGGCCGTCTAAAATGAGTCCGACTTCCTGTAAAATTTACAGGGAAGAACTGAATATAAGTGAATTTTCACTGGTCATTTTAAAGTTAGAAAATGAAATCTGGAAATCTGATTGGTCATTCTAAAATAAGTAAAATGATATATAGGGTCTCTCTGAAACGGTTTACGCGTCTGTTTTTTAATGAATCTAAATGAGTTTCGGAAACGAACTTTTTTCTTAAGTTTCTCAGATTTTAAAATTCTTTCATTTTCTTGTTAAGTTTTTTTTCCTTCAGACATTTAAGTTCTGTTTAACCATGTTTCCAAGTTTTAAAGTCTATATATTTATTGAGTTATAAATTTTGTCCAATATAAGGAGACCGCCAATAACGTTGACGACTCCGTAATGATTTTTGCAAGTAAAATAAGATTTACGTCGAACAAGTATCTTTTTTAAAAAAAAAACCTCTTGCTTAGAAACATTCGATTGAGAAGATACCTAACAAGACAAAGTTATAAATAATGAACCATTGAAATCAGCATTATTTAAATTGACTTAAACATGGTTGACCTATGAGATACATTTCTATTTTACTTACATTTTATATTTAATTTCACAACTTATTTTAAAACTGACTTCTTGAAAACATGACTGAGCCATGTCATGACAAAACCAACATAATGGGTTTGCGACCAGCTACCAGCTAGGCTAAGAGCATTGTAGTGGTTGCACGTTTGGTTGCTACAAACGTTACAAAATGGTAATGAGATTACACTTTATTTTTCGTCAGGTCATGTGCTATCCATGTACCCATGTAGCTTTAACGATGGGCCCCATGAAAATGGTATGACACAGATCCTAGTATGTTACATGTGTAATACAAAAAGAGCTAACTTACGCTAAAAGTAAGTGTTATAGTAACTTTAAGCGCTTTATTAAAAAAAATCATTTTGACCTGTCAACTGTTCTTATATACCCTTTGAAGCAAACAAATATATTCCAATATTTTGGTTGGCAGTTTCCAAACAAATATGCAACGCACAAATTTTCAATCAAATGAAATTTTCAAGAATTCTCTGATTTAAAAAGTGTTCGTTTTTGGTTGCAAACTTATACCCAAACCATATTGTCTAACTCTACCTGATTGTTGGGATTTTCCAAACGGTTTGGTGTAAATGGAAAAGGAATTAATTTGCTCTTAAACCTTATATGATCTAATATCTAATTTTCGGTTGACGAAATACTCACCGAAGTTACCTCCAGTGTGTCCCAGCTTTCAATAAGAGGGCTCCGGAAGTAGACGTCATTGAGAAGTTTATTGACCGGAAGAAGATGTCTGTAAGGATTGATTCTATCAGCAATGTCCGCATTTTCCCAGATATCGTACAAATATTGAATTGTTCCAGCCTTAATGTACATTAAAACACCGGATTCTGTTGGAGACACAACTGCAACAAAACGAAAGTTATACAGTTTATAAAAATGGCGAAAAGAAAAAAGACCTTCAGTTGTTGTTTTTTGGGGGGTTTTCTGAGTCCAAAAAGTCCATATCAAATCCATATCACACCCAATATTGTCTCGTTTTCATTTCCAGAGTGCAAAATATTCATATATAATCCATATCACATCTAAAATATTCTCGTTGGTCCAAAAGGTTCATATCTAATCCATACCATACCCATTCTACCCTCGTTTTCATTTATGAGAGTCAAAAATCCATATCAAATCCTTATTGTAATTGAAGTAACAAAGTTCTCTTAAATTGTCAAACAATGGTGGCGTGACATAAAGAGGTCTTTAAACATGATTGAGAACCCATACTGATTCTGTTGGACTCGTACACAGCTGAAAAACCTTTATCAGGCTCAGCTAGCACCTCGTCCAATATAGATTTGACAGCTGTGTATTCGTCCAATATAATTCAGTATTGTACTCGACAATGTACAATGACCTCATAATGTATGTTTCATTCCCTTACAGTCGTTTCTTAAAATAGATTTACCAAGGAATATCTGTAAAAGATTAAAATCTGCCAAAATATGCTAGTATTCTAGTCAGTCCACAGTAAGTGAATAGTTTTTTTTTCATTTTAAGATTCAGCTCAAGTCTTCTAATATAGTTTGAAACATACAATTACCTGACATATATTGGACTGCAACGAGTAAAGCCAGTATAATCTCCATAATAAAATCTTAGTGTAACAAGACAGGTCTTGGTATGACCGTTTTGGATCTACATCTGAAATTCATCTCCTTTAGGAACTGGTCGGCTCTGAATCGATTTGACCGATGGTTAAAACAACATCATCGTGTGGTCAATGCCATAAATGAGTGTTGTTCTTGCTATCAAAACAACATCATTTCAATTTTGATAATAAAGGGTACGTGTAATTGGATATTGAGATAATATTGGTGCATGCGTTTAATGTTTAAAGTTGCCGGTTCATTTTAATGGACTTTTAAATTATTTTAGCCCATAGGAGAAACAACAACGAAATGTAATTGTCAATAAAGCAGCGCAATTTCACGACAAAAATCGAATATTGGTAGGGTATTTACTTATTAATAATAAGAATGATCGAACGATTTACTTCGGTTTAGTCGACCGTTTAAACGGACTTTGATATTAGAGTCTGTATAAGCATATTGTTTATTATAAACGAAATCTGCTAATACTTAAAGGGGAGATGGTCAAAAAAAATCGTACAAAATGCATTATCTTTTTTATAACTGTACTTATCAATCAATTTGATTTTTTTTTTTAAAATATACTCATAAAAAAACTTAGTATTAATTAAGTATAAATGAAAAACTGACTGCATAATGATAAGAAAATGTTGTTAAATTTTTTTTTTATATAAACAATTTGTAACTATTGCCTTGAAGTTGATATTTAAATGGATTTGGGTTTAGACATAGGCAAAACCAACATAGTGGGTTTGCGACCAGCATGGATCCAGACCAGCCTGTGCCTCCGCGCAGTCTGATCAGGATCCATGTTGTTCGCTATCAGTTTCTCTACTTGTAATAGGGTTTGTAAGCGAACAGCATGGATCCTGATAAGACTGCGCGGATGCGCAGGCTGGTCTGGATCCATGCTGGTCGCAAACGCATTACGTTGGTTTTGTCATGACGCGGCTCAATTATAGTAATTAACGAGCAGCAGAATGAGAAATTACCTTTTTACTTATAACGATGTTTGTAATAAACTTTAAACCTAGCTCCTAAGTCCCTTGTAGAAGTTTCACATTTTGATAAAATATTTAACACATTTAGAACGATGTAAGTAACATACGAAGAAGTTTAAGTCCAATCTGATGGTCACTCATCCGATCCTTCAGACTGGGCTTAAACTGACTTCATCAGTCAGAAATCCGTAAGATTTATAAGTATCATCTTGACCTTTAGCTGAATCAGTTTGGTTTCATCATCCTCTTAGTTTGTTATCCTTGAGAACCAAACACTTGATTTTCAACTGCGGCCTTTACCTAAGGTAAAAATGCAATGCAATGCGACCTGCATATCGCCCTAATTTGTTTTTCGTACTATTTAAGACCAAAGTTTCTCTGGAACCCTTGATTGGGTATATCACCGACACACAGAGAAGACACGAATTTATATTAAGTATCGAACATTAGACTTCCGTATGTTATCTTGAACTAAACCTTACATAATATGATCGTGCGGTCTGCACATTTTCTCAGTGTGGTAAAAATTCACGGATATCTGTAAATGAAAGAGATGTACTGACAGTAAAATCAAAATCAAAGCACCGAGAGTGCTGGTTGTGGCAAGCCTCGAGATTATGCAAATATCTAAGATCACAATTTTTGCGGCAAGCCTCGAGATTATGAAAATATCTAAGATCACAATTTTCGCGATGTTTAAAGAATGCACAAACTATGTTTGGGAAGCTGCATTCCCTATTACTGGTAAAGATAGTTTGGTCTTTTTACTTAAAAAACTGCCAGTTTACAACGTAACATAACTTCACTGCGTTTACTCAAAAAGATGTTTACATGTATTTTTCATTTTAAATGAAATTGTAATGCAATAAGCAGTATTCTCAAATATCAAATTTTGAGCATGGGACTCCATTTCAGTTTTTAGACATGACGAGTTGTTTAAGATTAATATCCCATCTGATTTAGGTCCAGACCAATAACTTGTATGCAAAATCAATTTTTAATTCACCTCTAAATATATTTCCTAATTGGCTTTTGCTTATCTTTCTGTTTTAAGTGTCCCAACTGAAGTATGTAAAAAATCATTTTTTATATTTTAGGCTTTTGGCCCTCAGTGGAGTTCCATTAAAGAGATGATAAAATATTGAATGATTAGTGTCACAATTATTTCTAAGCTATTTATTTTCGCTCAAAATACAGCCAGTGACAAATGCAAATTCTAAAAATGCATCGGTAAAGAATATCCCCGTACTGCCTCTTTCCGATCAGCTAACAGATTTTCCTACAATAACTGACAGTGAAATTATATTAAAAAAATTTCTCTTTCAATTCTGCGAGTATTATCATTTTAGCTAATAAATGCACCAACTTTTTAAAATTTTACCTGAATTATTATTATGAATCGAGGACAAATCATTACTGACCCATTTTCCTGTTCTTCAAAATTTCACAACCACTTTTCAATCAGTTAACAAAATATAAACTGTACCACATAAAAATTGTTATACAACGTTAAAATATAATCAGTTATGAATTATGGAGAAATTTTGACAAACTCAACTTCAGATAAATGGTAATAAACAATTTTAACCTAATTATAATGCCATTTTTTAATCTTGATATCTTTTTGCAGTGGTAAAGCTGTCACAATTAGGGTATGGATGTACATTTCAATTTGCATAACAGAAAAAGCATGTTCTCGAGAAATTTTTAGGATCTTAAGGTCTATATGACACCATTCTAGTGACTGCTTACTGAAAAGTTATCAAAGATAATGTTTTCCATGTTTAAGTGACTGTTACTTTACTGATGTATTACCATCCCAATTAAGAATTGTATGGTAAAATATGTACATATTAAAAAATTATAGCTTTTGAAGTGCAGTATATATTATGACTTCAAGATATTGAAACAGTTGTCTAACTTAATATCCATTTCAGCAGACTGACAAAAACTGAGTCTGTAAATCAATTATTTTTAGGAAAATTATTGCGATTTTGTAACTGGCTAAATAAAGGATTAGTGGAAAACACACATTTCACATATTTTGAACTAAAATGCTAGCATTTTCTTTTTTATCGCCATAATTGACATTGCTGCTAATAAATGTAGTCAAGGTGAATGCAAGATGTGCTTACAGTTTGGTTACATGACAAATAAGGTCAAAAATAAAAAAAATTCTAGGGATGATTGAAAAGTGGTTGTGATTGAAAACTGGCAGTATGTGGATAGTAATGTGTTTTGTTGAAGTTTCATACAGAAGGCTGCTGGTCTACCAAATAAACTTTTTAACCACTCCCACTTCATGTCGGGTGATTAAAAAAGCACATTTTGGTAAATATCATATAGCGTAAATGTAAGGTTACAAGTAAAACACTCGAATACATCCATAAATTCGACTCACAAGAATACGTCAGCATTTTCTACAGAGATTCAAACGCCCAGTGATTTGGGTGCTAAAAATACACAAAAATCATTGTTTTTAAAACTTTTATTTCACCTGTTCTGAAAAGTTGGTGAACATTATCACAAAACAACAAACACTTTATACATCTTTCTATATACATATGTACAAAATAATATAAAACAATATATATTTATAATATATCTTCATATTCGACAAGAGAAAAAAGAACGCATCAATTATTTACATACAGTTGTATTGGATAGGCCAAAGATAGTCCATGGATTAGTTGAATGTTAGAGGAAATGTATACATTTGTATTTATATAGAAAACCTGTTCATGGTAATAACCCTTACCATGCTTAATATCTTAAATGGACTTGTCATTTTTTAATCTGGACAAAACCATTCATTATTTATAGGGAAAATTCATTTGGATAGCGAACAGTGCATGTCACGTGCACGCAGGCTGATCTAAGTCTGCACTGGCTGCATGGATAGAGTCGATTGCTGCCAGCTGGCTATTGGATTATGTAAATTGGTTTCAATTTGTTCCATAATGACAAAATTATCATTAAATATGACAAAAATGAATTTAACAATGAATTTAATTCAAAGGAAGCTTAGCAAATGCCATTTAAAGAATAAATATACAAGAGAAGTAAAGAATAGCTCATGAAATTTGTAAGACAAGTTAAAGATTCAAAATTAAAACCAGTCTATACATGTAAACTTTGTCGCTGGCCACTTAAATTTTAAGTTTTCCAATGAAAGCCTGTTTAACAAGACAAGTCTTCCAAGAGTTTAAAAGTTTTAGAATCTGAATTTCTTGGTAGCATTATGCAAATGAAACCTGTACAAACCTTGTGGCTTTCATATTAAAGAGTAAATAGGGCTTCAATCCACTTGTACCCCACAACCCACACCCTGCCGCATGGTCACCGCATAAAAGAGAATAAACTTCCTCAGATTATCTGTATAACACTTCATAACCTTACATTATCTGATAATGCTTTCATTTATCAAAGCTACTTTAAAAATAAATTTGGTACAGAGGTAATACCTACAAAATAAAGTTTAGAATACTATAAATATACTATAAAGAATGTCTGGCAAGCACTAGTATCTGTATTGAAGAAAGAACATACAAGAAAAATAAATCATAACATCTGTACATGTTAATAAAGTGTATGCCTCTATAATGAAGCATTTACATTTTCTTCTAAAAGATACATTTATAAATGAGATGACATCAAACAAAAACAAACAATACGAAAAAAAAAATTAAAATGAAATTTGAGATCAAATGAGATTCAACACATATCTTGCATAAAAATTAGCCCTGCTCAATCTATTAATGTTGAAGGTAAACAACATTTTGTTGTTGTTTTTTTTCTGGATAATGTGAAAAATGAAGAAAAAAATCTACACGAAATCCAATGTTACACATAATTTTTACCATTTAGCTTACTAATTACAGCACAGAAGAGTTTGAAACTGAGAACTTTTAACAAAACTGTAATCAAAATGATCTAGAGCCTATTAATCATTATTTATAACAACCAAAATCCAATCCTATGCCCTGAAATGTTAAT